GCCGACGGACACCTCGACGGCGACGATTCCGTTGCTCGCCAAAGTCGACAAGCCTGCTGATGAGGATGTTGTGGAGGTTCTCCCCCCTCCCCCTGTCCTTTCTCCTCCGTTCCCCATCGCAGATCGGCCTGGGTCGGCACCTGTGTCGACCACCGACAATGAGGGGAGCCTTGAGGCGTCGCCTGTGGCGCCTGCCCATGGCATTGCCGGCGGTCGACAAGGCGCCAAGCTCGTCGATCAGGATGGGAAGCCGTCGACGACAGGGGAGCAGCAGACAGGGGAGCCGGTCGAACAGGAGGCAACAGCAGCGGTGCAGCCGACAGGGGAGCAGCAGTCGGGGCGGTCGACAAGGGAGCTGTCGAAGTCAGCAGCAGACGAGCAGCCGGTCGATGGGTCGAAGCAGCTGGTCGACGACGAGGACGTCGACGAGGAAGGGGAGCAGTCGGCGGGTGAGGAGTCCATCGACAGCGACGTGGTGGAGGTGCCGATCACGAAGCCTGAGCTGCGACGCACAGGTCGAGCTCGACGGCCGCCGGAGCGGTTGAGCTTCTACGCCTGCCTACCGCCAGTTGCCTTCACCACGGTGTACGACGAGGTCAACGCCGACCTGTTGTACGACGATGCCGAGGAGGATGAAGACCTGCCGGAGCTCGACCCTGACGTGCATGCCGACCCCGAACACCGCTGGGACATCGCCACGATGACGGTGAAGGAGGCGCTGTCGAGCTGGAAGGGCGAGGCGGTGAAGGCCGCCATGGAAGAAGTGATTCGCAGCCTCATCAGAATGGGGACTTGGGAGCTGGTCGAACGCCCACGCGGGGTGAATATCATGAAGAACCGGTGGGTGTTGACGACCAAGTACCGCATCGACGACACCGTCGAGCGCGAGAAGGCGAGGCTGGTCGTGAAGGGCTTCACGCAGATGTATGGTGCCGACTACGACGAGACGTACTCGCCGGTGAGCAGCTACGTCACCCTGAGGATCTTCCTCAGCATCGTCGCCATCCTTGACCTCAACCTGATGCAGCTCGACATGAAGAACGCTTTCCTGCAGAGCAAGCTCGACAGGGTGCTCTACATGTACCAGCCGGACTACTTCGACGACGGGACCGGCCGGGTGTGTAAGCTGCTGAAGAGCCTTTACGGGCTGGAGCAGTCGCCGCTGCTGTGGTACAGGGCTCTCGACGGAGTGATGCTGGGCACAGGCTGGAAGAAGAGTCAGGTCGACGAGGCGCTCTACTTCAAGACCGGCGGCGACGGAGTGACCTGCTGGGTGCTGGTCTACGTCGACGACCTACTCGCTGCCAGCAGCAGCACCGCGATGCTGAAGGAGCTGAAGGAGCTGCTGGAGGCCGCCTTCGAGCTGCGTGAGATTTCGCCGGTGGTAAAGTATCTTGGGCTGGAGATTGTGCGCGACAGGCCGGCCAGGAAGCTGTGGCTGCACCAGCAGGGCTACGCCGACAAGCTGCGCAGGCGCTTCATTGACGAGGAGCAGGGCGGTCGAGTCCCCAAGATGCCGGTCTCGGTCGTCGCCTACGCTTAGCTGACGTTCGACGACGAGGAGGCTCAGAAGCGCGAGGAGGAGGAGCACCGGCAGAAGGTCGGCTCGCTGCAGTTCGCGGTGACGACGACGAGGCCGGACATCGCGTTCGCCTGCAGCAAGCTGGGGAGCAGCCTCACGGTGAGGAGCGACCAGCATTGGCGCGAGGTCGACCGCTGCCTTGCCTTCCTCGCCGACACCCGCGACACCGCCCTGGAGTTCAGTGGTGGACCAGAATCGTTGGAGCTGATCGGCTACGTCGATGCCGACGGCGCGGGCGACAAGCAGAACCGGACGAGCACGGGAGGCTACGTGTTCGTCTACGGAGGGGCCGCCGTCTCCTGGTCGAGCTCGCGCATCAAGTGCGCGACATTGTCATCGACCGAGTCGGAGTACGTGGCGGCCACGGACGCCGACAAGGAGGGGCGTCGACTTCGCTTCCTCCTTGCAAAATTCAAGCTGCTCGACGCTGGGAAGCCGACCATTCTCCGCGTCGACAACAAGTCGGCAATCACGGTCACTGAGGGCTTGGTGCTGACATGCAACCTTAAGCACATGGAGCGACGCTACGCCTGGCTGCAGCACATGGTGAGGCGTGGGAAATTCGTGCTGAAATACATCCCGAACACCGAGCAGCCGGCGGACTTCCTGACGAAGGCGCTGCATTTTCCGGCTTTCATCCGGTGCTCTGTCGCCATCGGCCAAGTTCATCTGGCCGATGTCAGCGACGATGAGGTGCAGCAGTAGGTGCCGTGCCCTTCTGCACGGCTGGTGCGGTGACGGCGTGCTGTGTGTGGGGTGTACGCCGATGACGGGTTTTCTCCGTGGAGTACTGCCGTGTGGGCTGGAGGCCCAAGCGCGAGCGCGGCAGGGGAGTGTTAACAGGAATGGAGTGTTGTCCCCACCCTCGCTTGGGCAACGCCGACGACTTGGTCGGATGTACGGGAGTAGCAGCCGACCGTTCACAGTGAGAGAGCTGCTCGACAGGCATCATCGAGCTGAAGGGGACCGTTGTGGTGCTGCTGTCGACCAGGGAGCTCGACAGCTGCAACTGACTGGTCTGGGCGACGTGTGGGCCGTCGACCAGGAGGGGCAGCTCGACCGGGAGGTCTCCGTCGACCTGCAGCTCAACCAGGAGGTCCCCGTCGACCTGCAGCTCGACGGGAGCAGTCCGTCGATTTGCAGCTCGATCGGGAGCAGTCTGTCGACCTGCAGTTCGACCGCGAGGTCGACGGAGCAGTCCGTCGACCTGACAAGTGAGCAGCGGTCGACGAGGGGAGATCGGCGACAACTGCTGACGGTTCTAGTCGACGGAAGGGGTCCGTCGACCAGGGGGTAGCTCGACGGGAGTTGTGGTCGACCAGAGGCACCTGGTGGTCGACCAGAGGGACCTGGTGGTCGACTAGAAGCAGTGGTAGTCGACCGGAAGCACCTGGTGGTCGACCGGGTCGACCGGGTAACCTGCTCGACGAGTTCTGCGGAGGCACACGAAC